TAGTTGGAAGCTGGCGGTCCCTTTAGGCATGATAAGAGCTTTCATTATGAGTACCAGCAGCGTTAATGCTGCAGTGTCAGACGTCAGACCCCCAAAAAACATAACATAACATTTCCCCCAACAATTACCTTGGGTGGGAGTAGTTTGGGTCATGCCTCAAAGTTTACTTTGTGGGACAACTGGCAGGGTTATGTATGCCTTCAAAAGAGAATTTAGAATGTATTTTTAATAATAATAATAATAATTTGAGTATTTTTTAAAGTATTATTTCAGTAATATTTTTACTTTAGATTTTTTCATTTGAGATTTTCTTTATTTTAGATTTTATCTCCCAAAACACTTATAGAGATAACAGACAAATAATTAAAAAAAAAACATGCAAGAGAATTAAATAATAAAATAATAAGTAAAATAAGTAAATAAATAAAATAAGTTTAAGATCTAATCTTTAATAAACTATTTTCATCTAAGATTAAATTACATTTATTTACATTTCAATTTAGAAAACAACTCAATGTGAAGTACAATGAAAATAGAATGAAATTAAATCCATATAACTTCAGTAAGTGTAGTTTTTAACACAGAGAACTGAAAAACAATTGAAGCAAAAATAAACATGCATAATAAAGAAATAAAATAAAAACTATCCAACAAAGAAATGTCTTAAGATCTAAGATTCAATTACATTTTTAATTAAATTATTCAAATATAGAATACAAATAAATTTAAGTACAATTCTTTTAAATTCATATAACTGTAAGTGTAGTTTTTAATAATACTTTTTCTCATACAAATAGATCATATGGGGTGTTTCTTGCTTTAAATGATTAAACATCAAATGATCTTAGCAAAATAATAAGCAATATTTGAAATTGATGTCCAACCTTTATAACGAAGTTTACATAAAAATGGCAAAGGAAGATCGGTGAAAGCGGCTTACATCACCATCTAAACAAAGCTGCAGGGCAAGAGGTCCTCCAGAGACACCAACCAATCACAGGGCTCGAGCAATGTCTGACAAATCACATTTGAGTTTCCATTTAGACTTTTATCTCATTCTTGACCTGTACATCGTCCCTTTTAATTGACTTATTGAATATATTTTCTGGGCGTGAAATATCATATTAGGATTATTTCTACAAAATCAGGTCTCTATGATTAATTTATGTCTTATATAACCGTTCCGTAGATTGCAAACAACCTACACAATTAATGCGATTAAACGCTACAGTTTGAGGGATGACAGGGGCTCCATAAAAGGACAACACTGGAACTGTCCAGAAAGATGACCATGAGTGGATTTTCAGGGCAGATGATTTCTGACAGGGAGCTGTTTTCTCTCTCCTGGACATTTCTGGTCTGAATTATGCTCTTTTTATTGTTGTAAAACAAAAATTCTACATTAGGTAACTAAATCCACCGGGCACTGACTGAATCAGGCCAACAGCCAAAGCAGTGCTCATAAACTGCTATTGTATTTTATAATGTGACATTTCCTGATTGAAGAATAAGTGGGCGGCTGACAAATAACATGAACTTTTGTTCAACATCAAGATTTTAGAATAAAGTCATCTGCATGTGTAAGGGAAAATATGTATTTTACATGCTTTAAAATGTTCACCCGGTCAAACTCAAATGCCATTTTGACTCCCCATGACTTACTACTGATAGAATGAACAGGATATTAAAATGATTCACATTATTTTACATATTTAACACAGTGAAGTGAGAAATGCTTAACTTAAAACATATGTAGAGGTCTGTTTTTCAGTTAGCATTTGGCAGTTGCAATTTGCATTTTGCATTTCTTTGTTGAATTGTTTTGTTTTATTGAAATTTGTATGTAATGCGTTCACTGCCTGTGTGTATTTTTATGTTCTTGTATATGTACAAATACAAATGTGTCTTTATGTATGTTTATTTTATTTATTGTTTGCCACATTATTCGGACAGAAGTATATTCACTAAAATATTCACTGAACAGTAATATAAATATTGACACATATGGGTTATGTGTTATTAGAATTACAAATAAATAAATACTATAAATAATAAAAAAGAAAATAAAAACACTATAAAATAATTTTAAAATAATAATACAGATATTTTTATGTGCACAAAAGGCACATTTCATGTGATAAAAAATGTTAAACTATTAAAAAGCGCTGTTTTAGATGATGTATAGCATGTTATACTACAGGACACTGCATGTCAACCGCACAGTTTACTCCTGTTACATAACATTTATTGGACATTAAAAAATTACAAATAAATAAATACTATAAATAATAAAAAAGAAAATAAAAACACTCTATAAAATAATTTTAAAATAATAATACAGATATTTTTATGTGCACAAAAGGCACATTTCATGTGATAAAAAATGTTAAACTATTAAAAAGCGCTGTTTTAGATGGTGTATAGCATGTTATACTACAGGACTCTGCATGTCAACCGCACAGTTTACTCCTGTTACATAACATTTATTGGACATTAAAGTGTAGGTGTAATGTTGCCTTCAAGTCATGTTGGGAATGACTGTATTAATGACTTGCAGACACATTTTTCAATCCTCAACTTTCCAAGTCTGAGGAATGGCGATTAAAAAAATCATGGAAGAAGCAATTGGTACTTATCATAATTACATTTAAATTGTTAATGTTGATTGTGCAATTTAGTTTGTACACAGTTTAGCGTACTAATGATGATAAACAGAGGAAAAGCTTGCCAGAAAATACTACTCATTAAGCTGGTTCATAAGGGGACAGGCTTATACAACTACACTTCCCATCATCCTCTCTGTCCATGCTAGAATACTAAAATGCAAGATAATACATAAATTACTCATCTAATGTGCATGTTTTTGTGCACTAGCACCAGAAAAGCTTTGGGCTGTAATGCTGGTTTCAAGTCATGTTGGGAGTGATTGTATTTACGAGTTGTGAACACATTTTATAAGCCTCAATTGTCCAAGTCTTAGGCAAAAAATCACAGAGGAAGCAATTGGTATTTATCATAATTAAGTTTAAATTGTTCATGTTGATGGTGCAATTTAGTTTGTACACAATTTAGTGTAATAATGAAGAAGAATAGAGGAAAAGCTTGCCAGAAAGTACTACTCGTTTAGCTGAGGTGACAGGCTTCTGCAACAAAACTTACCAGAAGGACTTGAAGGCAGCCTAAAAACTGCAAGGATCTGACAAGGAAAATTCAGTGCATCAGAATTTAATTATCGATTATAATTACTATAACAATATGCAATGTATTCTGCATCCAATTCTTATCAAAAACAATTATTAGCCTATAATTTGTGTAAAATGAAAAATCAATTGTCTAAATAAAAAGTCAATTTAAAAGTGTGAAAGTAAATTGTCTCTGTAGTTGAATGTAGGTCTTAAGCATAATACAATAATTAAAATAATGACCAAACTGCAGAATTTATGATGCATTGCATCATTTAACAAATTATCGTAATCAAACTGAATACCGGTCAGAGCAAACGCTTACACCTCTACTTCAGATGTAAAGACCTGTAGCCCATTTGTATTCAGATGGGTGAACTGTAAGGGTGCAGATGCTGGCCAAATGGCCAGATGTAGATGCTGGCTGAGCTGGTTTGAGAAGCTGAGCGATGCAAATACATTTATCAAAATAGAATGGAAAGAAGTTCTGGTTGAATACTCAATACTGCATGGTTTCCAAAAACACAACCTGTTGAAAGGCGACTCAGCCATTTGATGGATTCCAAGACCTCCAATGCTTTTGGAACTGTCATGTGTGATTTCCATTAACAGGACTCTATTTGCAGCTTCAGCTAAGTGCATTGACTAAGCACCGTTTCAGACATCAAAGTGAGCTTACAAGAACTTTCACATCTGAATAAATAGATAAAACACTCATTTCAGTAATAATGCAGAAGTGGCAATTAAACAGGAGCCAGATGACAAAACCAGAGAAGCATTTGATCTGCATAAGTGACTGCAGAGTGATTTATTACTCCATTCAAATGTGAAGAATGCAAGTTTTGATTGGCCCTTCAAGGGAACTTTGCTCAGTGACATTAATTGAGCTAATGAATAGATGAAGTGCCGTGGTGTAGAGTGAAAGTTTGCCGTGTGTGTGCATGTTTGTATTCAGTGGACCTCCCAAGTTGACAATCAATACATCTCAAAGGGAGATGGCTTGCACCTCCATAGGAAAGAGACGCGACCCTTGACTCTGTTTAAGAAGAGGTCAGATTGCGATAAGAGTCATTTAATTATAAATACTTGCTGCTCTTGTTACATTCATGCTTTTTTAAAATTAAATTGGTGGTAAATAACAAGGAGCATAAAATACTTAAAAACAGGCGTATATTTCATAAATTCAATAAATCACTCATTCACTCAAGATGCAAATATAGAAATAACTACATTTGCTTTCTCAGTTGTGCATTTACACGCAGTAAGGTCCAAAAGTCTGCACTATTTCAATGCCATTTGTAAGAAATTCTGATCATTTTTATTTCTGATGTTGTAATTTGTGATGGAAATAAAAAATATATTTAGTTAGAAAAATCCAAACAGAACACTTTTTTTGACATTGTATACAACTTAAATGGAATATAAAAATGTACATAGCTTAAATATGAATATTTAATATTAAAAACAAAATATTATATATGTAACAATATATTCTACATAGCAATATTGCATCAAAAATGAATAATAATAACAAAAATATATAATTTTATCTATAGAAATATATATATACTGTATATATACTGTATATATATATATATATATATATATATATATATATATATATATATATATATATATATATATATATATATATATATATACAAAAAAATAATAATTTGAACTGGCTAAATGTGCTGACTTGAATGTTAGTTATTCTGTAAGCTAATTAAAATCCTTTGAGGGCCTGGTACATGTGTTGCTCCGGCTGTATAATTGGGCAAAATGTTTATGGAGGAGGAGTGTATAGTTTACGGGCAAATGACTGAAACTAAACGGATATGCCCTCTTAGATTGCTCCTGCTGCTCACCCCTTACCTGATAACTGCATTCACAAGCAATGGGAGACATGCCATGTATCTGACTCCATTAACAGGAAAGAGAGGGGAGGAGGGTGGTATACAGAGCATAGGAGTGTATGGAAAGCATGAGGAGCCATTTGAAGTCTTTGCTTATTTTTTGTGTAATGGCCATAGACCAAAGATCTCCCTGGAAAAGAGTTCTTCAAAGGCCAAGGGATTAGCGATTGTACGTCCCATTTAGAGCAGCTTGAGATATGGCAAAGCCCCAGACCCCTTTGAGTGGGAGCCTCACTGGATGCTGAATAACAAGAAAAGAACCTTCAGAGCATTAAGCCAAAAAGCTGAATTCTGAATTGAACATTCTCCACTTCTATTCACAGGCTTTTTGGCTTAATGCTCTAATTGGTATAGAAAAAAAATACATTGGAGCTGAGGAAAAGAAGGAATTGTTAACGTGAAGCTGTGAAAACATCTTCATTTAACAGAGAAAAAAAGTGCACTATTTTATTATTCATGCATTACTGGTGGGGATTTTGCAGTGACTCTCTGCATGTTTACGTCGTTATACCAGGTGGTGGCGACAAGTGAATGTGTTTATGAGCAATTCTTTGAATCATTCATTAACCGATTCATTCACAACGATTCATTCATCAACATAACACCAGATACTTTCTACTTGCTGAAATGAATAAAAAAATTAATGAATATATTACCGAAATGAGTACTTTTATTCAGCAAGGATACATCAAAATTGATCAAAAGTTACAGTATAAAGAATACTAGAATACTATGATTTTTTAAACCTTTCTAGTAACCTAAGAACATGAAATGCATCATGATTTTCACAAAAATATTAAGTTCCACAACTGTTTTCAACATTTATAATAATAATAAATGTTTCTTTTTATCACCAAATCAGCATATTAGAATGATTTCTGAAGGATCATGTGACACAGAAGACTGGAGTAATAATGCTGAAAATTCAGCTTTGCATCACACATTTAAATTATGTTTTCAAATGTAGTATCTTATTTTTAAATTGTAATAATATTTCACAATATCACTGTTTATATTTGATCAAATAAATGAAGCCTTGAAAGCTAGTGTATAATTATATACACACACACACACACACACACATACATATACACATGTATTTTATACATAGGCCTATAATATGTTTGATTAATTATTATTACATTTATTTATATATTCTTTGTCAATACACAACCTGTTTAATGTTTGGACTAAGTTTGGAATAAGTGTTTAGCATGATCTTAAGACTATCTAGTTTTATGCTTAAATCAAAAGTTTAATTAAGTCCCAACTCTCCTCAGTAAGCCACATGGATTGAGGTATGATTCACGTCTGTAGTGCAAATTTTGCAGGACAACTACACACCAAAGTTTAATACTTATCGTTAGGGGTTTGTTCAAATCCCTAACCCTAAGTTTGAGCAATAATAATAGTGATGCTTGCCTAATTATTGGTAATGCAGCACAATGCCAATGGTCAGCAGGCTATAACTGAAACAAGACCTGCAATTTGGTAACAGTTATGCATTAATCACTCAGCAATCAATGCTCTTTTCCAAGGACGCTGTAAAAACAACATTTAGAGCCAAATGTAGGCCTACTTTAAGCTGTTTGAGCAAAGGTGGCTCAATTATTACTTCGTAAAAGAGCTGCTTAGAAAATGAAAGCTAGAAAGTAAATACTAAAAGAAGACAAGAACAGTAAAACTTCTCAGCATGTGAGTGGTTTTAATGCGTGTTGTCTCTCCTAATGCAACATCACATTAACAAGCCTTCAGAGTCTCAGCTAATAGTTTTTTTGTTCTCTGGCCTATTATGCATATCATTCCTCAGTGGAGAACTGAGAAAGATAGATGGAGCAGAGCAGAGGATGGGAAAACACGAAGCCTGCTGAGTTTACAATGTCTCAGCACCGTCTTTAATGAGCCTGTAAAACGCCACAGTTGCAGGGCTTCCTTGGGAGTAGAGCGAGGCCTGAACTGCTGATTACTGCCGCTATCAACGTACCGAATCTGAGCCGTACACATCAAACACTCACTCAGCGCACATGTTTCTCTTGAGAAATGTTCTCTAGGAGCTCGAAATAAAAGTCATACCCTTGTGGGAGGCTCACAAATATGTTAGGGAAGCCTGAGAATTGGAGATTGTTGCGTTGATTGTGAGATAACATTTCGGTCCAGAGCGAATTTAATGTCATTTGTGATTAGTTCTCTTGCATATTCTGTAAAAATCTATCATCGTTTTTGAATGACTCCTCAAGCCACAAATGCCTCCAAATTGCATTCAAGTATTTTAATGTCCGCACTGAACTCGGATCTCTGCAGAAGTCCGGAGGCACAGCAAGACACTGAGTTCGAATAATACGCACAATGTGTTAAATGTGTGCGTTCTTGTCTCTTATAAATGTCGTCTCTATTTATGCCTGCACGTATATTGAGTTTGGCTCAGATCACAGCAGAAGGCTTCGCTTTGTTAAACAAACATCTCGCTCGTGTTTATCATTCTTGGGGAAGTGTCTTTGAGAGCAAAGAGAGATGCGGGGCTTGGGGAAGAGCTGGACATGGGCTCTCTTGTGTTGCTTTCACTGACATCAGTCAACATTAGGAGATCTCCCTTGGAGCCAGAACTCCTGCAGAGCGACAACCGCCTCACTGATATAGCTGAACTTCACAACCGCTTTGGCACCAGCGCTGTATCTACTGAACACATTCAGCTGTCATTGAAATATTACTGAAACGCTACGCCACGGTTCAAGACCTTACATTGTTGTTGTTTTGCGCCCTAGTTATTTTATATCTTACAATTTCAATTGTATTTCTCGTCATTTAGGTTTTATATCTCCCAGTGTGACTTTAAAGGGTTAGTTCATCCAAAAATAACAATTCCATCATTAATTACTCACCCTCGTGTCGTTCCAAACCCGTAAGACCTTCGTTCATCTTCAGAACACAAAGTAAGATATTTTTGATGAAATCCCATAACTTTATGATCCTGCAGAGACAACACCGGAACTACCATGTTCTATGGATATCGTTAAAATAGTCAACGCATGCGTTGTGGTACTGTCGTGAATGCACGTCGAAGTCTGTTGCGGAAGAGAAGAAATTGTTAGGTCTTTTTTTGCGCACAAGAAGTATTCTCGTAGCTTCATAAAATTACGGTTGAACCACTGATGTCATATGGACTATTTTATCAATGTCCATACTATATTTCTGGACTTTGATTGTGGTAGTTCCATTGCTGTCTATGGAGCTCTCGGATTTCATCAAAAATATAATGGCTTGGAACGACATGAGGATAAGTAATGGTGAGTGACAGAATTTTCATTTTTGGGTGAACTAACCCTTTAATATTTCATATTTTAAACTATATAAGAAGCCAGTCACATTGTGAGATATAAAATCACAATTACAAGTTACGTAAATTTGCAATGTAAAATAATAAATAAAATAATAAAAACAATGTCACAATTACCTTTTCTATTTTCTATTTTAAATTGTATTTGTCTGAATAAAAAAGATTTTTAACTCTGAAAGTAAATAAATTCTAAAAGTAACACATCATTTTACTTGTTACTTTCAATAAATCATCTTAGAAGCTAGACACTGATCATGTGTTCTCATATGATAAGGTTAATGTTTAAGGAACAGTTCACCCAAAATGAACATTTTTTCTGCTATCAACGTGCCAAATCTGAGCCGTACACATCAAACGCTCACTCAGCGCACATGTTTCTGTGAAGAATGTTCTCTAGGAGCTCTAAATAAAAGTCGTACCCTTGTGGGAGACTCACAAATATGTTAGGCATCTCTGAGAATTGGAGACCGTTGCGTTGATTGTAACATAACTTTCAGTCCGGAATGAATGTAATGTCATTTTCGATTAGTTCACTTGCATATTCTGTAAAAATCGATGCACATTTGAATGATTCCGCAAGCCAAATGCCTTCAAATCGCATTCAAGTATTTTAATGTTCGCTTTGAACTCTGGATCCCTGCAGAAGTCTGGTGGCACAGCAAGATATTGAGTTCGAATAATACGCACAATGTGTTAAATGTGTGCGTTCTTGTCTCTTATAAATGTCGTCTCTATTTATGCCTGCACGTATATTGAGTTTGGCTCAGATCACAGCAGAAGGCTTCGCTTTGTTAAACAAACATCTCGCTCGTGTTTATCATTCTTGGGGAAGTGTCTTTGAGAGCAAAGAGAGATGCGGGGCTTGGGGAAGAGCTGGACATGGGCTCTCTTGTGTTGCTTTCACTGACATCAGTCAACATTAGGAGATCTCCCTTGGAGCCAGAACTCCTGCAGAGCGACAACCGCCTCACTGATATAGCTGAACTTCACAACCGCTTTGGCACCAGCGCTGTATCTACTGAACACATTCAGCTGTCATTGAAATATTACTGAAACGCTACGCCACGGTTCAAGACCTTACATTGTTGTTGTTTTGCGCCCTAGTTATTTTATATCTTACAATTTCAATTGTATTTCTCGTCATTTAGGTTTTATATCTCCCAGTGTGACTTTAAAGGGTTAGTTCATCCAAAAATAACAATTCCATCATTAATTACTCACCCTCGTGTCGTTCCAAACCCGTAAGACCTTCGTTCATCTTCAGAACACAAAGTAAGATATTTTTGATGAAATCCCATAACTTTATGATCCTGCAGAGACAACACCGGAACTACCATGTTCTATGGATATCGTTAAAATAGTCAACGCATGCGTTGTGGTACTGTCGTGAATGCACGTCGAAGTCTGTTGCGGAAGAGAAGAAATTGTTAGGTCTTTTTTTGCGCACAAGAAGTATTCTCGTAGCTTCATAAAATTACGGTTGAACCACTGATGTCATATGGACTATTTTATCAATGTCCATACTATATTTCTGGACTTTGATTGTGGTAGTTCCATTGCTGTCTATGGAGCTCTCGGATTTCATCAAAAATATAATGGCTTGGAACGACATGAGGATAAGTAATGGTGAGTGACAGAATTTTCATTTTTGGGTGAACTAACCCTTTAATATGTCATATTTTAAACTATATAAGAAGCCAGTCACATTGTGAGATAATTACAAGTTACGTAAATTTGCAATGTAAAATAATAAATAAAATAATAAAAACAATGTCACAATTACCTTTTCTATTTTCTATTTTAAATTGTATTTGTCTGAATAAAAAAGATTTTTA